GCTTTTATCTACTTATTTCACCCCCAGATTAGTCGATTGTTTCCGGGTCAGTACGCCAATCACATCATTGGCTATTTCACCTGCTGGCGAGTTTCTGGCCACAACTCACGCAAACTGTCTTGGAGTTTATCTGTGGGATAACTGTGGTACCTATAAGCGATTACACTTACAACTACTTCCGGACGATTACGTGCCTCCTGTGGACAAGAAACCGGTTGCAATGCCGACCAGGTATGATGATGAGGCGTACTGCGCACTCACTGATCGATTGATCTGGTACTACAAGCACTATCACCACTCGTTGCTGCCGTTGTTTTGCCCTACCGCACGGTTTTAGCTCGCTTTTTGCACTTTCCTCAGTTGTTTTACGACCTCCATCTCGTGCACCCATTTGTGTTAAGATCCAGTGGGCGGAAAGAAAATCATGCGGTGGTTTTCTCGGTGAAAATCATTGTATAAGCCTTATGCAGTATTTCTGATGTGTGCCTTCCCGTATTGAGGTTTGCACGATTGTAGAAACCCGTTGCTTTGCTGAATAATTTATATTGTTTATGATCAGGAATTGATGATGTTTGCAGCTCCATGTACCATCACTCAAGAGTGGGTGGTGGTGGTGGTGGTCGGGGAGGGGGGTAAAAACAGCTGTAATGCGGCTGAAGTTTTGTGTTGAAGCCTCTTGCATTACGCCAGTGCAATGTCACTGCTAAGTGCTTTCGCTCCTGAATAATGAAGTCTTGTGTTTAAGAGGTGTTGTGCTCCTTCAACTGCTATGCATACTGTGAACTACTGGTTAATTGATGTCCACCTCCTGTTCCAGTTCTTGTCTGTTCGGATTTTTGTATGTTCCTTGTTACACGTGCAAACGATGTATGTACACGATGGCTGCCCCCAGCTAATTGGTTCATGCTGTGTATATAACAGTCCATGGTTAAAAACCAGATCGTTACGAAGTATACTTTAGGGCACATGTTCGTTTCATTATATTTCTTCTTAAGCATAGACCGTTGCCGTTTTTAAAACCTGCGACATTCATGACTAGGAGTTCCTCTCCCCGGACTATACACGTCTGCTTGTTCTCTCATGCCACTCGTTCCTCTTTTCCTTCATTCAATCGATGTTCGATCGCTCTTCGTTCAAGCACAATGATAAAAGTCGACGGTCGCCGAACAACAACACCGGTTCGATTCTATCCGCAAATCCCATTTACTTTGTTTCCTGTGCGCTGTTGTTTTGTGTTTCATCTCAGTTGTTTTATACAACACAAACTTCTTCATCACCGTTCTANACCTGATGTTCATTGAGACTATGAACAATGTCCGAGCTCGATTGCTGTCTATACTGCAGGCTACAATAATCCGATTAAATCTCTCCCCACAATGCAAACATATCACAAAACCTATTATCATCCCGCAATCACTTGTCCGAATGGAGCCCACTTGACCTGCCGGTTCAACTTTCCCATCCTTGAAATAGTTATCACTAGGTGTATGTGATTTTTGTTCCAGAAGTAGTTCTCTTCTATGACTAGCACTCTCCTACCCCCTCTCTTCACATTGATCGTTCTCTGAGCTGCAGCGGATGAGACAAACCTGATGCACCGCATTGTTTTTCTCCTCCGCGGGAGACATGTCGGAAGGTTGAGTAATCGAAGCTACTTTTTAATCGATTTCCGATGATGATGATGAGGTGAAATATTTGCAGCGCTGAAAATAAATGTGAGAAGGGAATCAAGGTGGGAACGTGTGTGTAACTTCTTCGCCCCTCCCCTTTTTCAGTGCTGTTTTAACTTTCGGCAATAAAAGCCCATCCACAATCTGTTCACTGCCTCGCAGTTCGTACGTGGTTTGTGGAATCCGATGATTGCAGTCTCCGGTGATTAAAGTCAAAGTTTTATTTTGGGAAATACTCACAAACGGTTGCTTTTCTTGTCCCATGGGGTTTAACGCACCAATGGATCGATTTACGGTTCATGGAGTAATGAAGATCTTCACAAATTTTCTGCTTCTTGCACTGCTATGGATGCAAAAACTTGTGATTTGACAAAGTTTCACCAAGTTTGTGTTTGAAAGAATATATTATGGGCACAGAAACAACATGAGGTGGTCGAGAATCCTAAATACTGCACCTTTTGAGGGCGAATAAATGGCGCCGGCACTTTAGTCGACATTTTTGGAGCACTAATTTGAATTAATGTTTCCTGAGGTTAGTGTTGTGCTACACGACGAAAAGTGAACGACATGGGCGATCAGGGTTCTGCATTATTTGAAACACTAAAATCACATCCTTTCGAATTCGGCGATGCTATATGGAGTACAACCACAATGATTCCAGTCTTTCCATTTGAGTCTTGGGACGCAGTCCATTGGTGGCCATTCTTTGTGGACGTTCCATACTTTTCACTACTTGTATTTATTTGTGGAATAACGATAATCTTTAAGATATATATATGTGTGTATGTGTGTGTGTGTGTGTGTGTGTGTGTGTGTGTGTGTGTGTGTGTGTGTG